TTGGCTTTCAGTTGTATCTTTTGTAGATGTATTTGGTAAATGATTATGTGTAGATGTTATTTATCTATATGTGCCTGTTGATGGTAGATTTGTCTGAGCTTTGGCTGTCTTTCTGTGTATACCTGATTACAATAGCAGTGAATGGTGATTGGACATTTAAATGTTCTTCTTGGAACTTTTTTGTTTAAATCAAAGGGGATCTGATAGTTTTCTGGTATTTGCTCTTATGTCTTTTTTTCCCTTGTATTTTATTTTGCATGGATGATAAAGCTTCTGGGGAAGTCCCTGGCATTGCTGACCCAGTTTATTCAGGTTCCAGCCATCCATAATTAAATGGAGGAGGGGAGGGGAGCCACTGTTGAATGCTTGTCTTCTTGATCATATGATATTTCTACTCCTATAGTTAGGGTGTGTTTTTTTCCCGGCAGAAGACAAATCAGTCAGTATGATGCTGTCAAGGCTCAGTCATCACATCTCCTGGAAGAATGTAAGAGTCAAGAAACTTGGAAACTTCCCAGAGAAAAACCGGAATGTCAGACGCCTGTGCCAGCTATTGAAAAAGAGGAAGAGTCTGAACAAATAAGAGTAGGTGGCATCTTTTTGCGTGTAACTACTGTATACTGGAATCCTCAGTTCATTTTTTCAAATGAGAATATAGAACAGATAATTAGGGAATTCCCTTGACATGATGGCAGTTTGATTTAAAGGAGAAAAGCAAAATGACTTGAGAGGAAAATATGGTCCCCAAAACTAATGGCTTTGTTTATTTTTTAAAAAAATAAGAATCTCTCCCAGCTTGACACCTTCCTCATCATCCATAATTGCCCATCTGATATGGACAAAGATTAAGATCTAATGTAAATACTTCGGAAATCGTGAGTGCTCCATCACTGGAGATTTTAAAGAAGGGATTAGACAGTCACTTGTCTGAGATGGTATAGGTTTTCCTGCTTGAGCAGGGGACTGGACTAGAAGACCTCCAAGGTCCCCTCCAGTTCTATTCTATTCTATTCTATTCTATTCTATTCTATTCTATTCTATTCTATTCTATTGTCTTCCATCAGAAATGAGTCATTCTCTTTTTTTCCCCTTGAAAACAATCTCTGCTTTCTAATGGCAGATGTTGAAGAAGCAAATTGCAGGCCTACAGGAGGAGTTCAGGAGAAACAAGATCCACTGGCAAGCTGCCCACAGCAGGCTAAGGAGTCAAGTGGAATTACTCACCAAACAGAACCTGGAGCTCCAGGATGAATTTGGAATCTCTGAGCATCAGAAGATGGAAACCCAGAGAAAACATGGAGCAGTGGATGTTATTAACAGAAGACCAGAAACACCGGTACTATAAACTAGACTTTTATTTGAGTTTAATGCCTCGACTCCCTTCCCCATGCTTGCTTCAAAGTAAAGACTAGGGGTCTTGCAAAATATTCCATTGGTAACAGATTATTCTCTAGTACAGTGCTGTTCAGACCAGCTTCAGGACTGCCCCAATGACATCTTGCAATCCATCTAACCAGCATATCAATTCTTAGGGAGGTGTTAGTGGTATTGGAGCAGGTAACAAGCTGGGATTTATTTCATATGTCTGCCAGGATAAGAAGCTAGCCCTTTCTTTTCTCACCAAGGAGTTGGCTGCTACACATGTGGCCTTAGCTTTGTTTGTTTGTTTGTTTTTCCAAATGCAGGTGTACTGAGAATCACTACTGGCCGTATTTCACTCATTTAAACTATTTTTATTGTTAATGAAGCATTTCCTCCCCAGCTCTCTGCAGCTATCTTGAGAGGGACATCCTCCCAAGAGTCTGTAGAAGAGAGAGCATTGCAAGATAACCACAAGAGTCTCATTGATGTCCACGTAAGAAGGAAAATATCATTTGATGATTTAGCTCATAATGATAATGCCCAGGTAAGTCATGTAATCATGATGATGGACAAAAAAAAAGGAAAAAAAATAATGTTTTCAACCTATAAGGAACAGGCACAATTTGCATTGTATTGTAGTTGGACTATGGAGGCAGAGGCTCAAATTCCCATATGAAATGAAAGCTGATGTGGTCCAAGGGTTAATATACTAAGCTAGGTGTAACAAGACCTTAACCTGAATCTGGCTGCTTCTATGACCTCATCAGGAATCCTTGTTTCCCTCTTAGCCTTGGTTTAACCATCTTCAATACGGTTTTCTATAGAAGGGGCTATTTTTATTCACCCTGATGTGTTGGGGCTATAATTCACAAAGGCCACTCGGGCTGGTAGTTTTGGGAATTGCAGTCCCAGGATACTTGGATGGCATTAGGGTAGAATGTTTACTTGCCAGTTGTAAAGCTTACAGGGTATGGCTAAGGGCACTGAACACTAAAAAACACAATATAAATAGACGGTCATCATTGCCATCATGGACTTCTATTATCTGAACTGTTATTTCTTAGTTGCACCTTTTTCTAATAGGGACCACAAAAGGTAACTTCTTGTAACTATTTCTAATGTCTTTTAGGCAAGCAGAAGGACATTGCTGAGGTCTGAGTCACAGAAAACCGCAAGAGGAGAACAAAGAACAAGGAGCCCATCTAAAATGCTTAATAATAGAAGTTTAACCCCTACTGGTCAGAGGACACCTCATCCAGCACCATTTCAAATTCAGAAAGTAATGTGGATTCCCTGAATAGACCTTTTCCTTTAGCATTTCTGTGTAGCCACCTTTGCCAGATTTTTGTGCAGCATGGAACTTTGTTTAAAGAAAACCAAAGAAGGAAGGAAGGAAGGAAGGAAGGAAGGAAGGAAGGAAGGAAGGAAGGAAGGAAGGAAGGAAGGAAGGAAAGCAATCGAAATTTAGAAAAAGCTTGTGTATTTTCTCTAGGCAAAGAATCAGTTCGAAGTAATAGCTTGTGAGTCTAGTGCAACAGTCTAAGGTGCTTGTTTATTCATGTCTTAGTAGCTATATCATCTGTGAACAATCTGAGGACATGTCCCCAGGTTACCACCGTTCCCATGCAATGATCACTCCAAAGCAATTAAAAAACAATCTTGAACACAGGTAGAAAACATGTCATGAGCTCATCATTGCTACTCCGGTTGATCCATTCAAGATTGTAAATTCAAAGAGTGCTGCACCCCGAATTGCCACCAGTAATTCAACAAATAACAAAACAAAGGAATAATAATAATAATAATAATAATAATAATAATAATAATAATAATAATAATAATAATAATAATTTTTTTACCTCAGCTGAATAGGAAATGAAATAAACTATTCCTATTCCTCTCCTCTTCCACGTTTATAGTTTCTGTCATGTATTTGCTTATTTTCAAAACACTACAGAGTTTCTTATGGTGGGATACTTGTAAATGAATGTAAAATTGTCTTTCCTTTTGCATTTTGCAACCTGCAGCGGTAAAGTGATTGATAGCTTGCTCTAAAGTTGCAACCAAGCATTTTTCTCAGTAGCTGTAACCCTGGTTCTGTGTTGTGGGAGGAAATGCATTTTCAGCGATACCTACAATAAGACACTGATGTTCTTGGGCTAGTCTGGAGTGGGCAGCTTGAGTTCAAGACAAAGGCCACGAGGCCATGGAAGAGTTCTCTGCAGTGTCAAAACCAGAAGCTCAACAGAGTTTGAGCTCTGAAAAGCAAATGCCAGCTTTGTTGTCCTTTCAGCTAAACCTGTTCAAGCTTAATGTTTTTGAGAGATGAGTTCCAAAGTGAGCAATTCTTTGTGCTGTCACCAAATATGAGACTTTAGGGGTCCTTAGCTGTATGGGAAGTTTTCTTTGCATTCAAACACAAATAGAACACCTCATTATCTTTAAGATCTTACTGCTCAGACTATTTTGATTAGCAGCTGCGTGTAGAAAGATGGCTTGTCTGCAGATGTTGAATGTAATACCAGAATGCCATCACCCTGTGCCCTTCTTCCAAGCTTATGGATTCTAATTAACTAGCTGTTTTTGATTTTTATTTCAGACATCTTGAGAATAGTATAGTTAGTCCTCAGTGTACGACCACTACTGAGCCCAGCGTTTCTGTTACTAAGTGAGACAGATGTTAAGTGAATTTTGCCACATTTTATGACCTTTCGGGCCAAAGTGGTTAAGTGAATCGCTGTAGTTGTTAAGTTAGTAACAACTGGTTGTTAAGCGACTCTGGCTTCCCAATAGACTTTGCTGGTCAGGAGATTGCAAAAAGGGATCACATGATCCCAGACACTGCAACCTGTCGTAAATATGAGTCAGTTGCCAGGCATCTGAATTTTGAACACATGACCAAGGGGGATGCTACAACGGTTGTAAGAGTGAAAAATGGTCATAAGTCAGTTTTTTAGTACTGTAACTTTGAACAGTCACTACATGAATTGTTGTACTGTATGTTGAGGACTGCCTGCTATACTAATAGGGTTGGAGAGTATCATAAGCTTTTCTAAGTGGCTGGCTTCTAGACCTATGGGTAAAAATTCAAAAAGAGGAGGAAAACTAGGAGGATTATTGCCTGCTGCTTCCCTTCTTTGACTGAAGCACTTCTTTATTGGCTTCATCCCTCCTATTTCCGCAGCATCTTTGCACTGCAGTATGAGTGTTCTCCCCTGCTTTCTTCCTTGTTGTAGACCAGGGGTCCCCAACCCCCGGTCCGTGGACCAGTACCAGGTCGCGTCATGCCAGCACAAACAAGGAAAGCCCCATCCACAGGATGCAGGCAGCACACAAAACCACGTCCCCTCTGGTCCGTGGAAAAACCTCTCTCCTTGTAACCGGTCCCTGGTGCCCCAAAGGTTGGGGACCTCTGTTGTAGACCATCCCCCCCCTTGAGCCAACCAGTGCCCTTTGGCCAGTCAAGGAGCACAAAAGTGCCCCATCCCAATATTGGCTCTTCCCTCACCATGTTTTTTATTAAAGCTGAGAGAAACGTTGGCCTACCCTTCTGCTGGGTGACAGAGCAACCTCTCTGAGCACTTTGGGAGGGAGGGAGGGAGGGCAGGGTGAAGACACCATGGTGTCGCCATGCCAGGATGACAGGAAAGGGCAGAACTTCTAAGCTGCAGAAGCGGGTTAAGGTAAGAGTTCTAGACAATGGATTCACCTGCCTTGAAGATCCAGAGGAAACCTGGTAAAACTGTATTTGTGTCATTTTCTCTAGAACTGAAGCTCTCTACATAAGCCTCAGGGGCATGGTGCCAGTTTCTGATTGGCACAGCCTTATTGTGGAAAGGTCTTTAGGACCCGTTTGTTGGGTCCTCAATATAGAGGGAAATAACACGAAAGTCTGCCTTTTTGGAATATATCTTCTGATTGTCTATAAAACACTCAATATCTGCATGATTAGAACAGCTTTATCCTACCTGATAAAATAGTTGGGAAACAACTTTAAGAACTGAATATTCTGGCTGGGACTTTGAGAACATATCATACTGAATAATGCTAATATAACTACTGTTGTTAATTTTGTGTCAGTCCTGCTTTCACTGAAAGTGGACAACTCTTTAATATATCTAGACCAGGGGTAGGCAACCTTGGCTCTTTTATGACTCGTGGACTTCAACTCCCAGAATTCCTGAGCCAGCCATGCTGGCTCAGGAATTCTGGGAGTTGAAGTCCACGAGTCATAAAAGAGCCAAGGTTGCCTACCCCTGATCTAGATGTTTCAAGTAAAAGTGTGTGCAAAAATGTTTTTATTTGTTAAAAAAATGTTTCTTTGCTATAGGCCTCCCCTCAGTTCACTTCTGACCAGCAACACAACCATGGAAGAAACACACCCATATCGGTGTCTAACTTGTGCATAAACAAGAATACTGTTCCATCCTTGTATGTAAAAGGTAAGATATGTGTAAAAAGAAGGCATCTAGTAATTGAAGAATGGATTCCTTTTGCTAGCTAACAGCAACAGACTGCATTGGTTTCAAAATGGCTTCTGAATGATCTGTGCTTTACTGTGTAAGTCGCTAAGCATTTTAACCTATCGATATTTGAATTCCTTTAGGCATGTGCTCTTCCACCTCAGGTACTTCAGAAGATGCAGCATTTTCAAACAGCCTAAATACTGACATTTTAAACTCCACACCCTTAACTGATGTGGAAATCCAGGTATGTTTACATACAAATATTAAACACTATCTTTAAATATAGAGAATGTTTCCATAATTCTGCTTTAAAAATAACACCCTCCAAAAACAAGGGAGAAGCTTCTTTTCCTCAAAGGTCAAATCAAGGTGGATTTCTCATCATCTCAAGTGATTTAGTTGCTTAATGTCTCTGCAGATGATGGAGAATGTTGACCATAAAAGGGCTCGGAGGTTCAAGAAGGCCTCTAGGCCACAGAGTGTCCCTGCAAATGGAAGGAAAACACCTGAAAACAATCTTTCAACATTGGAGAAGGCTGAAAAAAAGGTTAGGGCCCCTAAGGATTCATCTGTTATATTTCCTTCTTATGCGTCTATTGCCAAATCAGCATCTTTCCTGGGATGATGGATATTTTTGGAATGAGGGTGAAGGCTCGTTCTCTGAGCTTGTGAGTTGGTTTCCGAACGTTTCATTACCAGGCTAGGTAACATCTTCAGAGGCGTTTAGGGGATGTCTGTGTCAGGGCTCTTCTGTTTATAAGGGCTTCGGGTGTGGGTGTGTCAAGTGAGGGTCTTGTGATGGGTCAGATGTGAATCGTCAGAGAGGCTTGTGATGGGTCTTGTGGTGGGGAGGTTATTTCAGGTCAGGTCATTGGGAGGGTGTGAATAATCAGTGGGTCTGGAGTGAGTCATCAATGGGAGTCTGGTGAGGGGTCGTGTGATGGGGAGATTACATTAGGTCAGGGTCATTGGAAGGTGAACTGCTGAGGGAGGGGAGAGAGGGCTTGCGTGAGTTGGTTGTGGCTTGGTGCTGTCTCCTGTTGGCTGTGCGATTGATTTGGATTCTGAGGGGTTCATAGGCTGGTTGTAGATCAATGTGTCTGTTGATGGAATTCCTTGCAGGCTTCGATGAAGTAGCCTGGTAACGAAATGTTCGGAAACCAACCCAAAGCACAAGCTCGGAGAACGAACCTTCACCTTCACCCACAGTTTTTCTGTGTTAGTCTTATATCAGGTTTGCCTATGATTTATTGCCTTTATTTCCTCCACCTCCTTTTGGGGAAATATATTGTCCTTTGGATATTGGTTTTGGTAAAATAAGTTATTCTTCCCAAATTCATTCATGTTTAATTGCTGATGGGTTTTTTCCCCCAAAGCCAACATTACTCAGAAGAGCATCATCCTGTATTGAAAGCAAGGTTGGTGGAGAAGTGAAAGAAGAAATTAAGTACCTAGATGGAAAGGTAAGGCATTTTAGGTGTATATATAAAATCAATTAATGCTATACATCTCTCTCTCTCTCTCTCTCTCTCTCTCTCTCTCTCTCTCTCTCTCTCTCTCNCACACACACACACATGAACACACATACATAAAGAAACACACACATACACACACCTGCTCAAGACATTTACTGAAATCCTAAATCATTGTTAACTGGAATTAGACTACAAGGAGACATGGTACCTTTCTTCACTGCTACCATATCTGTGCGTGGTTGATACTGACATCAACTGTTATTCTTTTTCATCTATGAAACCAAGAGGAATAGTGAATTTTATTAGTGTTAGTGCAAATCACAGAACTGTGAACTGTGAAGTCTGTGTGTATGGTATTCCCGAAGATGCTTTCAAAAAAGGTAACTGGATTTTATTGATTTTTCTTGACAACATTTCACTCCTCATCCAAGAAGTTCTAACTAACTGGTGGGAAGTGCATAGGATTAAGATCAAATCAAGAAAGTTGCCTTTTTGAAAGTACCATTGGGACAACCATGACCTGGATGACTAAGTACCTCTGTAGATGTGTCTATGGTATATATGTGTGCATGGGTATGATTCATTCTGTGTCTTCATCCTCCCCCATCTTCACTGCTCTGTTGCTTTTTGATTTTTATGGTGGTTCAAAATGTATCCCAGCCATTTTGAGCTGCAAACAAAGAAAAGAATGTGGGCCTAAAGAAAAGAATGTAATATGGATCAGGGAAGCTGCAGATGAAGAAAGATCTGAAGGTGTTTAAGATAAAAGATATAGGGACTTTCAATGTGGGTATTGTGACAGAAAGGACAGGAAGGCCTGGAGAAACATTGTCCATGGGTCGCAATGGGTCAGACACGACTTCGCAACTAACAACAACATTGTGATTAGCTTCAGAACAATGCAGGTTCAATTTGCTGGATAAAATGGAACTGCCTTTTATACATAGCCTTAATCTGAGGTTGTACCGGGCGTGCTGCGCAGTTAGTTTCATTTGGCACATGTTTTGAAATATTTATTTGCTGGAAGCGTGTTCCCCATCTGCTCTCTGAGAGGTCTTGCCTGATCTCCTAGGTGCTCCTTCTTCCCGTACAGCTGGTTTGGGTACAAGGGGAGTCACATAATGCGAAAATTATACTATTACAGGCATATGTCTCTGCCATATGGCCATTCATCAACGTGCAAATTGGAGCACCCCATGCAGGACTGGAAGTCTCCAAGGAGATGCAGATTATGCTGCTTGTAGAGAAATTGAATTTATAATGCAATTTGTGCCAGACATGAATCTCATAAAAACAGCATTTGTGACTGGCAGCAGGATTCTTTCTCTCCACTGTAAAGCCTTTTGAAGAAACCTTGAGATTGTTGTTCACACATTTACTGAAAGATATTGAAATGGGTAATACAAATAGAGAAGGATACCTTCTTGGCCTCTGTGTAAAATTTTGTCAGGGTGAATGCAGCATACAAGTACTGTAAAGCAGGGCTTTTCAACCTTTTCACCCATTGTACCACTTTTAGGATATGGCAACATCCGAGTACCACCAGTCGCCTAGCAAGGTGTCAAAAACTTGACCCCCCCCCAAAAAAGTAAAAAAGTACAGGTAGTCCTCGACTTACAACAGTTCGTTTAGTGACTGTTCGAAGTTACAATGGCCCTGAAAACAGTGCCCCCCAAGCCACAGCCGAGCAAGACACCTGCCTGCCCATCTGGCCGCGCTCTTCCTCCTGTCTGAGGTTTTCATTGTTGTGAGCATTTCTGTTGAGGATTGGCAGCAGGGATGGGGTGGGGGTGTATTTGGTTTTTATTCCCCCAGTCTGCTGGGTGGTTGCAGCAGATTTTGGTCTCTTCACATGACCCTGGGACACTGTGACCGTCATAAATATGAATCAGTTGCCAAGCATCTGAATGTAAATCACAAGACCCTGGAGATGCTGCAACATTCCAGCTGATTGGTGCTTCTTCAGTGCTCAGCAGAAGCACCAGGATCAGTGCCGAGCTCTAGCTGGAGCCTGGCGCTGATCTTGGCGCTTCGGCTGAGCCCTGACAGACCTGCAGCTCCAGCCATGTCTCACTCAGGGTTGTGCGGTGCTGCCACCGGTTAAGCTCATTCCCCTCCCCCGCTACCACTTTTCTAGGATGGTCGCGTACCACCTGCCAGGTGCCAATGTACCACAGGTGGTACTCGTACCACTGGTTGAAAAGCCCTGCTGTAAATGAATGAAAGAGAATTTACATGCATGTGAATAAAGAGATACACTTATCGTAACTTGCTTTTTCCAGCACTCAGATGCAACCATTTAACAGCCAATTTTGTTTGCAAGAGAACCAAACACTATCTTCTAGTAGAGACATGATTTTTTAAGAGTGATGTTTGTCCATACAAGAAAGGAACAATGTGTATTCTCAAACATCTGATCTTTGCTTCAAAGGTGAAGCAGCTGTTTACCGATGGACGCAGAATTACTACGTACCCTAATGGTACAAAGATGGAAATTAGCACCGATAAAAAGACAGCTACTGTTACTTTTTACAATGGCGATATTAAGAAGATATTAGCAGATCAGACAGTGGTGAGTATGTTTGTTTGTTTCTATCTCTCTGCTTGAAAGCTAAATTTTTAGCAGTGCTGAATTCTGAATGATTAATCTTGAGAGAAAAAAGGCGGTAAATAGGAGGCCATGTCATTTTGTTGCAGCAAAATAGGAACACATTTATTCCATAGTCAGCTCATTTCAATAATGCATAAGGCTAAAACATCTGAAGGATGGTTGCAGGAATTGGGTATGTCTAGTTCAGGGGTCTTCAAATTTGGCCCTTTTATGGCTTGGGGACTTCAACTGCCAGAATTCCTCAGCCAGCGTGTCTGGCTGAGGAATTCTGGGAGTTGAAGTCCACAAGTCATAAAAGGGCCAAGTTTGAAGACCCCTGTGCTAGGCAATCTCTAATGGTACAATTAAAGATACCATCTTTGGTTGATCAAGCTTCAAGGGACAGGAGTACAACAGAGTGCATGGCATAGTGCCATAGAAATAGAAGACAACCAAGAAGGGCCAAACATTTGTGCAATCAGGGCACCAACATAATACAAGCAAAGAACAGATGCCATCCAGCAAGGAACCTGCTAAATAGCAGCTTGGCTGAGGTATTGTGGGAGTTGAAGTCAACAGGACATAAAAGGGCCAGGTTTGAAGACCCCTGGTCTAGTTTAATGAAAAGAAGGACCAGGGATGACATAAAAGCAGTTTTCCAATATCTAAGGAGCTGCCACAAAGAAGAGGGGGGTCAACCTATTCTCCAAAGCACCTGAAAGCAGGACAAGAAGCAACAGATAGAAACTAATCAAGGAAAGAAGCAACCTAAAACTAAGGAGAAATTTCCTGATAGTTAGAATAATTAATCAGTGGAACAATTTGCCTTCAGAAGTTGTGGGTGCTCCAACCCTGAAAGTTTTTAAGAAGAAACGGGACAACCATTTGTCTGAAATGGTACAAGGTTTCCTGCTTGAGCAGGGGGTTGGATTAGAAGATCTCCAAGGTCCCTTCCAACTCTGTTATTCTGTTATAACAAGAGTGTTACAAGAGTATTATTTTGCTTCTGTTGCTAATGGGAAGGGTCATAAAGGAGTTTAACTGAATGAAACCCTTGAATACCTTGAACCAAAGAGTAGGTCAATTTAAGGCCTGCAAATGTAGCTTTTTTAAAAAAAAAAAAATAACACCAAGCTGGAGTTTAGTTACAAGAGTCTAATAATTAGAATTAAGGAATTTAAAGAACAAGTAGCTCATGAATACTTGAATACATACTTGAATGCAACTCATAACATTTCCACATTTGCTAATCTGTCTAAAGTTCTGCAAGCTCTTTTTTTTAAAACTGTTTTGGTTAAGGCGCTTTTCCAAAGCGCCTGAAGGCAGGACAAGAAGCAACAGATGGAAACTAATCAAGGAGAGAAGCAACCTAAAACTAAGGAGAAACTTCCTGACAGTTAGAACAATTAACCAGTGGAACAACCTGCCTCCAGAAGTGGTGAATGCTCCAACACTGGAAGTTTTTAAGAAGAGAATGGACAGCCATTTGTCCAAAATGGTATAGGGTTTCCTGCCTGAGCAGGAGGTTGGACTAAATGACCTCCAAGGTCCCTTCCAACTTTATTATTATTATTATAAGGCAGTTAGTCCTCACTTTACTACCACAATTGGGACTGGAAACTTTATTACTAAATAATGTGGTCATTAAGTGAGACCTCACATGACTGCAGTTGTGATTTTACTGCTGCCTTCTCTACCAACTCTGCTCATCAGAAGTTGGCTATGAAACTTGCAAATAGCGATCACATGACTGCAGGACACTATGATGGTCATAAACACCCACGGGTTTCAAAATGCCTGAATCTTGTTCACATGACCACAGGGATCCTACAATGGTCATAAGTGTGGGGACCAATCAAAAAGTTACTTTTTCATCACATCCATAACTTTGAATAGTTGCTAAACAGGGCAGTCACTAAGTGATGACTACCTGTATAATGTTTGAGTCAGGTCATTTTGTGATCATTCTTGTTAAGTCCTTTAAAATAGGAAATCACTGCTGATCTGTTTTAAGCAATCCAGAGATCTCCTTCTAGCCAGCACCAATTCAACCTCCTGGCCATCTTTGCTGTACAAACTTTCAGTCTTACCAGGATGCCTGAAGAGGTATTTAAAAATGGAATTGCAGACATCAGCCCTAGAACAGACAGTCTGAAGGGCCTGAGGTTGGAAACATCTTGAGGGATGTTACTATATACAAAGAAATAATTTTAGCAGTTGCATTTTGATTAGACTGCTGAAGAATACTGGGGTCAGCTGCTGTATTAATATTGTAAGTTATGTTTGCATATGCATGCAAAGTACTTGAATTGAAAAATATAGTGATTTCTCCTCTTCCTTCCCCACCCAACCCCACTCCTAAACATACTGATGTGTTCATGGGCTGCTGGTTCAATGCAGTTTCTTTCCATTCCCAATCTTGACGTCCCAATGGAAAGAAATCAACACCATTGGAAACTAGCTGTGCAAGTAATGCAGCTAGCTTTTATGTATTCATTTGGTCACAAAGATATTAAATAAAAGGAAAAGTTTTGTAACCACCCAAGATATGTGGGGGGAAGAGATGGTAAGCAACCAAGATTTGTTTCCTCTTTTTCAGATTTATTACTATGCAGATGCTCAGACAACCAGAACTATTTACCAGGATGGTTTGGAGGTGCTGCAGTTCCCTAATGATCAGATTGGTATGTGATGTTGGCATATTAAGTTTTAAGCCAACTTCTTCAGCAACGTTAGGTGGTAGATAATAGACTACTCTTCCCTTACTAGAGGTGTTGAACTACATCTTAAATGATCCTAAACTAGTTTGGCCATTGGAACTAGGCTTCAACTCTTCTAGAGGGAGTCCAGTTGACAGAAGTAGCAATATAACTTCACATTAAAAATTGCATGTTTCTGTACCACTCTCCTTATGGAATTCCCACCAAAATAGACCCTGAAGAATTGTGTTGACCTTGAAGTACATTGGGTTGATAGAGGTAACATATTTTTTATATATCAACTTCCTTATTACCCTTCAATAGAGATTTCTGGAGCGGTTCACAGTAGACAGATCTGTCTGGAATAAGATTATACCAGGGAAACATAAAAAAAAGTTTGTAATATCAATCTATAATGATATGCTGGCTGTATTAGAATCAGCAGAAATTTTCCCATTGTCTCCAGGAAAAGAAAGAACGTTTATAACTTAACGTTTACAATGTTCTTAAACAGAAACATACTGTATATATGTGAATTATGGCACTATGGCAGAAACTGGCATTTCTGTGAGGTGGCACATTGTTTCTTTTATTTGAAGTGATGATTATTATGCACATTGTCACAATTGTAAAGTAAGATATAGTATCTTTCTTGAACCTTTCTTGATTTAAAAGAGGGAACTTCTTTTGATGTCTCATGTTAATAGTTAGGCAACCTCGTGTGTTAGCCTTACAGTTGGAAGGAACAATTTAAAAAGTGATTGTGAAATAATATTAGGATGTATTTTTTTTTCCTAATGGAGAACTGCATCTTTTCCATTGGGATACATGCATTATCTATAACAGCTTGCTGCTATATTACAACATTATTTGTGCATATTCTACTTACCTGTTTTCTGTTTGGAAAACGATATATGTAAACAATTTCCCCTTAATTAGGGAACTGAGGCCTTAGCCGATTTAGAATTCAAATGAGCCACCATTTCTGTATGGGAAATTTGTTGTAGCCTGCTGTTGTTAGATCACTATATATAATAGCTCCCTGTGTATATTTTTATTCATGATACGTTCATACTGGGAGACTATGGGCAATTTGGTTTACAAGGAATTTTGAATGATGCCCTTGTTAACAGAAAAGTATCATCCTGATGGTACTGAAGAGATCATCTTTCCGAACCAGACAGTGAAACGACGCTATGGTGGAGGTTTTGAGGAAACCATTTTCCCAGATGGCACAGTGGTTAAAGTAGAAAAGTAAGTAGAGAGATATAGACTGGATACAGAAGACAATGGTGCTGACCTAGTCAACACATCAGCTTTATTTGTCAGGAACTATTAAAGCAGAGCAGATCTTTAGTAGCCTTTTCTGCTGCAAGATTTATGAGTCCTGACTAGACCAGACTATAGATAGTTCTCAACTTATGACCGTAACTGGGCCTCCCCCTCAATTGCAGTCATAAAGCAGGTCACCACATAACCAGACCCAATTTTATAACTTTTTTTTGTGGTGGTTGAGAAATGAATGTGGACATTGGTAAGCCATTGTTTGTTATGGGGCATTTTTTTTACTGGAAATCAGAAGTAAATGCTGGTTTCTGGCAAAAACGTTGTAAATCACGGTCACATGATCACCGGGTGCTGCAAATGGCTGTAAATCCGGGCTGGTTGCTGAGCACCCAAAATGCAGTCACATGACCTCAGAGAGATGAAGTCAGAATTTTGAAATGGTGTCATAAGTAGTGTTGGGGAGGATCTGATGTAACTTCAAACAGTCACTAAGCGATCGGTCATAAATTGAGACTACATATATAAGCCATTCTTGATTTTGAGGCTAGGCAGAACCTGTGCTTCATTTCTGTTACACTTTTTCTGAGGAACGCTAGCTAATCCCTGTTAAATAAAGTATCCTTATTTGATAACCAACTGGGTTACTGGCTGGCTTACTAAACTTACAAAAGATGCTTATTCCTGGGGTCAGGAATTCCTTGTCTTTGGACTGGGTAAGTGCTTTGATTCTAAGTCTGTTGAAGCCAGACATATTTTTTTTTTTATTCTTTACAGAAATGGAGAGAAAACCATCTACTTTCGTAACGGGCAAAAGGAGATCCAAGCTTCTGGGTCAAAAAGAAGAGAGTATCCTGATGGTACTGTAAAGACTGTGTATGCGAATGGACAATGGGAAGCCAAGAATGTTCCTGAACAGGTTCAGATCCAGAATGACAAGGAAGTACTTATTCTAGATGAGTGAAGCAATCCCCTAAATCGGAGGTGGGGAACTATGGCCTTTTTTTGACTTGTGGACTTCAACTCCCAGAATTCCTGAGCCAGCCATGCTCACAAGTCCACAAGTCACAAAAGGGCCATAGTTCCCCACCCCTGCCCTAAATGGTGGCCTTACAACCCTCCTATTTGCAGTGTTTCCAGGTCAGTGTTAAAATTCAAAATGTAAACAAATATAAACAATACAAATAGGGTACAGCTTGCTACAAATTAATGTAAACCAGGGGTAGTCAACCTTGGCTCTTTTATGACTCGTGGACTTCAACTCCCAGAATTCCTGAGCCAGCATGGCTGGCTCAGGAATTCTGGGAGTTGAAGTCCACGAGTCATAAAAGAGCCAAGGTTGACTACCCCTGATGTAAACAGTGACATAATCAGCATTTTTTTTTAAAAAAAATCCCTCAAGCTATAGAGATGTTCGATATGAATTTATTTTTGAAAGAGTGGTGGAAAGAATGGTCGTCCCCATCTGCCTGAAGTGGAAAGGAAAGCCTTCCACCTCTTTGAATTCTGGAATCGTGGCGAAAGCCTGCAAACCCTTTTGTTTGAGCAGTGAGGAGATGTGACGAAGAATCAAGAACCACTATAACTCTAAAATATGGTGTATTTTAAATAGTCAGTTGCAGCTACCGCTAGCAAGTGGAACACATTATGTCAGAATTATGACACATATACACTAACATCATCAGACACAGTTGTATCCTAAGGTCAGATGGAAATACAGAAGCCATAGTATTTGGGCGATGGTGTTGCAAATCTTTTATCATTTGCCCCACTCTTGTGTGGATCCTGAGGAAGATGTTTTTCTTTTTAACATAAACTATTTTTCTAAAATATTACTAGTTCTGAACTGATCAGGATTACCTCCCCAGGATCTGAGTTTTGAGATTTATGTGATTAGCCAAGCCATTATTTGTTAAGGTACGGTTTGTTGAATTGGTCATAACTGACTGGATTTCACAACATGCCAAGCTATAAACAGTGGTTTACAAATCACAATGAGATCAAGCTAAAATTCATACTGGATTGTTGCTTAAGCCAATGTGTACAACTGGGCCAGAACATATATCTTTCAGCCAGGGAGGGTGGGCCAATGACTCTTAAAACTTGTGAAAAGGCAGCAGTAAGAATACATATTTCTGGAGCTAGAAGGGCTACTAGTTAAGTGGAAATGACCACACACACCAATCAAGTAGTTGCCGAATGAAAAAGCTGTGTGTATGGAACAGGAAGGTAAAGGTCATCCTTGAGTTACAACCATTTGTTTAGCGACCTTTCAAAGGTGAATGGCCACTAAAAAAAGTGAGTTACAACCAGTCCTTGCACTTACGACTGTCATAGGATCCCGACAGTCATGTGATCCAAATTTGGGTGCTTGCAGCACCATCCCAGGATCTTGCCATTTGCAACCTTCCCAGCCAGCTTCCGACAAGCAAAGTCAATGGAAGCAGTTGAACTCACCTAATAACTGCATGATTCACTTAACACTTGCAGTGATTCACTTAATTGTGGCAAAAAAAAAATATTGTAATATCAGGCACAACTGAGACGAACAACTGCCTTGCCTACCAATGGAAATTCTGTCCCAGTGGTGTCATATGTCAAGGTCTATTTATAGCAGTAGTGGCGGACCTATGGCACGAGTGCCAGAGGCGGCACTCAGAGCCCTCTCTGTGGGCACTCACGCCATTGCCCCAGGCCCACCTCCCCCTGTGGCGCCCTCCTCATCAGCAGCCCCCCCAGAGGAGAGTCGCCCCCGAGCACAGCCGGCCCGGAGCAGCGCAGCCAAGGACATGGCAGCTGGGCAGCAGGGACAAAACTCTGCCCTTGTGCCCCGTCAAGCGCAGATGATGCTGCAGGGCGTGGATGGAGTGCATGGCCACTATGGCGCTGCTGGGCCACCTGGGCAATCTGCAGTGGGCTGTGGAGGCAGTGAGTGGCCCTGCGGGTGGGCGGGGCCAGGCTGGGGCGGAGCGGGGGTGGAGCGGGAGCAGGTGGGGCTGGTTTTTGGGCACTCGGTCCCATCACTGATCTATAGTTTTTACCCTCCTCCCTTTCCAAAAGGGAGCGGCTGAGTTGGTGGAGTTCTCTTCAGGAAATTATGTAGTATAATAGAGCTCCCTAGAAATCTACAAGTAAATAGGACTCCAATGGAGTTTTAATGTTATGAATTCTCATTTTATACTCAGCTTGTAAGTGCCGTATGTGAAAATAAACCCTATGTTACACAAATGCCATAAATGCTCCAGTGAAATTAAATTTAGATAAACATTTGCATCCAGATAGATTTCACTCTTCAGGAATGCATATCCATAATATTTTTCCAGCTGTGTAAAGAAATTCAGGTACTAGGTTGTGTACTTTTCAGGAGTTCTGTGTCCGATTCTCCCTGTCACTCAACTGTCTTTTTATTTGTTTGTTTCCCTGGGATACAATTTTTTCCAAGCTGGTGATTTTTAGAAGTGTTGGACTATAATGTGTATTACCTCTGTTTGCATGACTAAGAATCTGTGGTCTGTAGTCCAGCTCATACAGACAGTGCTGAGTTGGGGAAAGCTCATCTGCTGTCACATCTTGTGTTTGGATCCTGGGTGGGTCCTTCAATGACAGGATGAATATGTAGATGAGTATGTCTATGTTAGACCACAGAAAAGACTTCTGTAGTTTTGACATGTTCAAGGGAAACAGGCTGTTTGACCTTCTGTTTTCACTTTTGTAATTTTGATGCTAAACTTGAATACAAATTGAAAGTGGCCAAAAGTCTTTTTAAAATTAAACAATGATATATTAGTGCAACCGGTACATTACTTGTTTGTACTGTTTACTGATTCAAATGCCATACACTGAATGACCTGCTTAATATTTGATCTCTTTCGTTCCCATTATTTGTATAAATATAATATTCTGAAGGAAATCATTGCAAATTTTCCAACATTTGCACTTATATTGAGAAGAGAATTATTTCCAAGGAAGAGAAAGAAAGAAAATTTGAAAGTGTATAGGAGAGACTTCCAAAATGTCCCACCTGCTAGATGTGTTAGATTCTACTGGTTTTATTGTTTGAGAAATATAGGCCTTAGTCTGGCACATTTGGTGGGCACCAGGTTGAGGAAGTCTAGTATAGGAATGGCACACATTATATTTTTGTCATCAGCTTTCAAGCTCGTTCATAAAAAAGAGTATAGAATTGCTCAAACCATTTGTCTACTGGTTAGCTAAGGCTTTATTTAATTTTTGATGTTCTGGTTGTAATTCTTTACTTATTAACTTATGGATTTCCTGTATTACACTTTTGACATTCATCCCATTCTTAGATGCTTCAAGTGCTGCATCGTTGAAAGGAAATATAAGGATAAAATCACCTACACGGGGGAATGGCCGTCGGTCTTTATCTGAGAGAAAATAAGGAGGAATAGTTGGCTTGTGGGTGTAGAACTCTAGTGAGTTAAACCAATGTGTGGACTGCACAGACTCACATAGCGAATGACTAGTTCTTAACATCAGTCTGCTTTTGGATAATGGCTTCGATTGGATAGGTGTTTGGGGCATGTGCATCTTTTCACGCAATTGTGAAGTCAAAGTTTTCCGAGGGTATGCACTAGCCGTTCTGCCATACGTGGGTGTTCTTTTATTGATCTGCAAACGTGATGGAGAAGGGGAAGTTGTTGCTGATTTGGTTCCTTTCCCACAAGCCAGGAAATCCAGTGGGACCTCTGACTGAGTGGTCAGCAAATATTGTGACTGGCTGAAGCACGAAAGCCTCCGATTGGCCCCTCTGCTTTTTCTTAAAGTATCAGCTTCCTTGTAGTTCAGCAAGTCGACAATGTCATGGAGCAGCTTCCTTTTGACAGTGACATCACTGGCACAGTCTAAACGCAGACCTGGGCTGTGGTTTACTTCGAGAAGCCAGGGTTTCATTTTCTCATCAACCAATATGTCAAACCCAAAGAGTTCAAAGCAGTTGGACGTAAATGGTACTGAAGTGGTGATGGCCAACAAAGTTAGAATGACTATATGGTTGATTCTTTTCCACAGGAGCAGGTCATCAACACTGCAGCTCCGTAAATAGGCCCGCAATTTGCTAAAAGTCCATTTGCAACCAGAGCCAATGACTTCTTTGTCCTTTCTGTATGATGGCCCAAACTTATTGATGCTTGTGTTTGTCAGGTGAGCGTAAATGTTGTCAAGGGATCTCAGGTCAAACTTCTCTGTTGCAAACCTCACCAGTCCTTCTTCATATATATAAATTGTAAGGGGATAAAAGCTTGTAACACAAACATAAATACGAAGGTCCCATTTGTATCCGGAAATAAGCAAAGGGTTACTGATATATTTTTGCACAATTACCATGCAGTCATAAACAAAATCCTTAATGTCTTGAAAAATGAGAATGCCTCTCCCGCGAGACCTATCAACTGGTTTGCAGATCCAGTAACTCAGCTTTTTTCCTGGTATTTGCCTCTCCTTGGAGTACTCAGTTATAAATTTTATATAGTCATTGGGCATGATGAAGGCCACTGGACTGAACTCATAAAGGGTGGTTCCATAAATTCCCTTCATGCGTTTCAGATGTCTTGCCAAATAATCTTTCCGAGTGATTCTGATGGTTTCTGGATGGTGATTGAGCCTCTGCCATGGTTTGATGCTCTGGTGTTCTGTCATCCGGAAAGGGCAATTCCTCCAATACAAGTTCCAGTCTTCATTATTTTGTTCATTCTCATCATATTCAATCCAACCACGTTCCAATAAAATTTCACGAACTAATGAAGGTACACTATCATGGAGCCGGAACACGAGTGGCCTGTTGATGCCTCCAAGCTCAACTCTTTTTGCTGTTGTGGAACTCTTACTTCCTACAAAATTAATAGGGGCGCATAGTAGGGCAGAAACAATTCATTCAATTGATTTGAATTATGATATCACGAAAGAAATGCATTGCTATCTCATATTTTCTAGGCCAAGGGCCTGCCATCTTGGCAACTTTAAGAGTTGTGGACTTCAACTCCCAGAATTCCTCAGCTAGCCATGAGGAATCTTGAAATTGCCAAGATTGGAGCCTCTGTTCTAGGCTAAAAAAAACCCCTGCATGTTCTATAAACTAATCTCAGGACAAGTTTTTTCAATCCAGATAGTATAAAAATAACCTATATCTTCAACATTAAGTGAGAATATAGGAAACAATTTGACCATCTTCTTTGGGAATAAGGGCTCTGAAACCAGAACAAATCATGAGCAATCTATGTTCACTTTTTGTTCTTAAACTCTTGATTTTTTTTCATCCTAACTGGCTTTAATTGGATAATTGAAATATGAGACATATTTATAAACCAGGTCCTTTGTTTGGATTCCTTTCCTAGCTGTCTGTGCCAAAAAGAAGTCCAAATTTGCTACAATGTAAGAACTCTATTAATTAAAATCAAAAGAATATCTTGTTTAACATTCTGACTCAATATAGTCAGCCAAATGCCTACAAATAGGACATGTATTCAGTAGGGCCATTTTGTTAATATTCTCCTGGGGCTAGTATCAAGAGGCCTGCTGTTCCTAATCTTGTTAAGTATCATATGCCTATCATGACCAGCAGTCGTGAATAATAACAACAATGACTTTTGATTTAAGAGCCTGAATCATAAGCTGTACTCATCTTCATCAAGTTTGCAATTCCTTACTTCACACTGATATACAGGTAGTCCTCACTTAATGACCACAATTGGGATTGACAATTCCATTGCTAAGCAACCTGATTGTTAAATGAGACATCACATGACTGCAATTTTGATTTTACTGCCAGCTTCTCCATTGACTTTATCTATGGAGACTCTCAGACATCCAGGTCATAATTATCCCAAAGGTGCTTTTTCACGAGGCAATTAGATTTTCTTGTTTTTCTTTGAAGACATTTCGCTTCTCATCCAAGAAGCGTCTTCAGCTCTGACTGGATGGTGGGGAATGGAAGGATTTATACTCCTTGCAGACAGCTGGTCATTTGCATTCTTTTAGAGAGTCCTTGAGGCTGGAGGTTTATCTGTGTCGTCAGAGTCACCTAGTACAAATGGGTGTGGAGATTTCTTGGAACTGCTGAAAGGACTGTGTTGTAGACTGGAGACAGGTGATGTTATATCCCTTCCCCTCTATTGAGAGAGAGACAAAATTGAACAGCTCTCTCTCAACGGAGGGGGGGGAAAACATCATCTATCTCCTGTTTACAACACAGTCCTTTCAGCAGTTACAAGAAGACTCCATACCAATTTGCACTACTCAGGTGACCCTGATGTCACAAATAAAACTCCAGGTGGCCTCAATGACTCTCTAAAAGAATGCAAATGACCAGCTGTCTGCAAGGAGTAGTTCATTAAAAGCAGTACTTTTTGCCATATTTTCTCAGCCTTGTGTCCTACAGATACGTTTGGCTCCAGTGTCCATAATTCCCAGCCATACTTATTGGAATTTGGGGGTCAGCTACATTGAGAACTAAAGTTTGTCTGGACATGAATGTTGAACATGTCAATAACTAAGCAAACCAAGTCCCTCTCGGTAACAAATGCAAACCCAAGTGAAAGGCAGATAGAAGAAACCCAGAATTTAAACTACAGAGAATGTGGTTTCTTCTGTTGACAGAAAGCAGCAAGCTGGGTAAAATGGCTTCATCTTGGCTAATCTGTCTAATACCTTACCAGTTTTCTGCTGAGTTCAAGTTCAGGTCTGCTAGTTATGGAAACCCAATACAACCAGAAGGGACCAAGATAAAGAAGATTTATTTTTATCTATTGCTATAATCCTTGATTTAAACTGTAATTTGAGTAACAAAAGTTACATCCAGTGATATTATCTGACGTGTGTAGTTCACCTGTAGTTCACCTGTATTATACAGTGAAACAATAAATATTCTATTATTAAACTATTCCAGTAGTATTCCTGGTTGTCAAAGCACGTGCAGCAGCCTATTGTAGGTTATCCAACAGCAAAACAAACATCTACCAGATTTTACGTTTGCTCTTGAAATCTTCATGGTTTAAAGTGCTTGCAACTGATCCTTGCATATTTAGTTACATCACATTTTTGTTCAGCTGAGTTCATATTTTTAAGAATTCCTATGTAAGCTTAGAATTGGAAGTTTAGGATAACTTGTCAGCAGGCTGGTATCTTTCATCATATCTGCCAGAGCTATGTTAGAGCAAGATGACTCTACTCAACTAAAATAAATCCATGTATATGCATAGTATCTAGGCAAGTTTTCTTGGTACTATATAGGTAGACCTTGTTTAGCAACCATTCGTTCAGCAATCATTTTGAGGTTTACAACAGTGCTGAATAAGGAGACTTATGGCCAGTCCTCAAGGTTTCAGCAGCACCACAGCCATTACAAAATTCACAGCATCCTGCAGTCATGGGATCACCATTTGTGACTTTCACTGCCGGCTTCCAACAGCAAAATCAATGGGGAAGACAGCAAGAATCTGCAAATGGCAACCACATGACATTTTGCCTAACCACACATGTGATTCACCTAATAACCATAACGAGCTGCAGGGTCCTCCCACTTTATGACCATGCTGCTTAAGAATAGATTTGCTGATCTCAGTTACTGTTGTTAACTGAGGACTACCTGCCCAGCTACATAAGACACAAAATAGATGCTCTGTCTAAAGGCAGAACTTGTGTGTGTGTGTGTTTTGCATTCTACAAGTAAGATCAAATGGTGTGGCTCGGGCCATCATTTATTTGATGGGGACAGATGATTATTGGAATACAATCCTCCATTTTCCTTGACTGCTGGTCATTCTGAAAGAGACCTGAGATCAATAACATCTGAGAGTTACATATTCCACCTCTCCATGCTTAGATGTGTGAAAGAAATGGGGGGATACAGGGAGGGGGGAGACATTACTGTAGATGCAATGAGGAAGAGCTGCAGAGGAATTGTGTGAACCATTTTAGATACCCTGGATAGACTCACCAGTGCTCTGGTGAGCTGGAGAAAGGGTATCTATCTATCTATCTATCTATCTATCTATCTATCTATCTATCTATCTATCTATCTATCTATCTATCTATCTATCTATCTATCTATCTATCTATCTATCTATCTATCTATC